ACCAACCACTCACGAATGAGGAAGTTGGACTAGCATTAAGATCGATGGCCAAGGGCAAAGCCCCAGGCTCCAATGGCTTAACAGTGGAGTTTTTCGACCAATTCTGGCCGGAATGCACAAACACCTTGCTGAAAATGTATAACGATGTTCTAACGGGTGGTGAACTAACACCTAGCATGTGCCATGGCATTATCACTCTTTTGTACAAAAAGGGGGACCGATATGACATTCGGAACTGGAGACCAATCTCCAGATTGAACGTTTTGTATAAAATCCTAGCAAAAACGCTCGCAAGGCGGCTAGCTAGATATTTACCGGGACTGGTCGCTCATGATCAGGCGGCTTTTGTACAAGGACGGTCCATTTTCGTGAATATAATAACTGCAATCGAAACGCTGAAAATCGTGGAAAAGGAAGAGCGACCCCTAGCTGTTCTGCTGCTTGATTTGGAAAAAGCGTCTGACAGAGTCAATTGGAGCTTCGTCCTCACAACTTTCAGGAAGATGGGATTTGGGGAACTTGAAGTGTTTTGCAGATGGGTGTTAGTACTGTATACTCACACTACAGCGTCGGTAATGGTCAATGGATTTCAGTCGGATCCTTTCTCTTTAACTCGCTCGCTGCGCCAATGATGCCCTTTGTCTCCGCTGCTCTTTGTGATCCAGTTGGAGGTGATTTTGTGCAACATTAGGTGTCGGCCTGAGAAAGTGGGCTTAGCGCTCACAAATAGTGAATGTAAAGCCAAGGCACTCACAGACGACCTGTGAGAACTCTCCATCTGCGCTAAGTGCTCTCAAATTTCTCTTGGATGAGTACTCCCTCTTCTCAAAAGCTGCAGTAAATTGGAAGAAGTCTGTCTACTTCCTGCCACAGAACATGACCCTGCAAACGGATTGGGGTACGAACGGCATAAACAAGGGGGAAGCTGAGCGTTTTTTGGGGGTTCTTATTTCCTTAGATTCGTGTCAGGATGCTCAGGAAGAAATTTTGCAAAATTGCATGATTGCCAAAATTAAAGCCTGGGGTCCAGCACCACATCTCTCTTTGTTTGGCCGTGCACTGGTAGTAAACTCGTCCCTCCTCTCCCTCCTAAACTTTGTAGGCTCGGTTCGTATGATGTCTCCTTCCTTCTTGGCGATCACCAAGAGAATTGCAGCAAAGTTCATTTGGAAACCGAAAGCAGAACAGGAGCATGGTTTCGTCTCGAAGGTTGCATGGGAACTCATCTCTCAACCACGGGAAAATGGAGGTCTGGGAGTGGAGGATCCACTGAGAAGAAACTGCCTGCAATTAGCTATTTGGATAATAAGGGCCTCTAGCAGTGAGGGACTGGAACATTGGGTGGAAATGGGGGAACATATCTTAGCAGCGGAATGGGGTCTCTCGCGTGAGGAAAATGTATGGTTGTGCCTTCAGCTCGAATCTTTCACTAACAGAAAGATCCATTCAAAATTCTGGGCAAATGTGATAAAAGCCTGGAAAAAGGTCAAACCCACAGAGTGGGCTCAGCCGGTCACAAAGGCAGAGGTGCTCAGTCAATCATTGTTAGATAATCCATATATCCGGGACCAAAAAGGCGATAGCTTCAGAGCGAACAAGGCACCTGGCGCGTTTGGGGGGGTCCTCAGAATAAAAAACCTCTGGGACGAAATTTTGGCGAATTGGTTATCTCTGTCTGAACTAGAACAGCGCTTGGAGCACCTGCAAAATGTGGGTGAAAAGAGAATGGAACTCATTGACGCAATTCCCCAAAGGTGGAAAGAATTATTGTCACCAGAAGCAGTAGACCCTCCCGGCACTTGGTACATTACCCAAGAACGGTCTGATCTGCCGGTCTACTGGAAGCTGATCAAGTACAAGGAGGACGGATCTAGATCCTTTCAAGAATGGAGAAGGACACCGTTCTCTACGCAGTTGTTATGTGTATGTTCAAGGGAGGAAGACAGTGAATGCAGTAGTGACCAAGAGGAAGAGGTGAGTGCCCCTCGATTGGGACTCCCATTGCTACATATCAAAGTCAAGGAGGAATGCAACAAGGAGGGGATCTACAAGGTTATCTCATCATCGGACTTGCCTCTGACTAAGCGTACGCTGGATGTGTCAGCTTGGGGACGGTGTGGCTTGGGAAAGGAGGGTACAATGCTGTCATTGTCAGGAATGAGATCCACTACCGAACTGTTACTCCCTGAAAGAAGACCTGAAGTCGTGGCAGCGGAAAGATGGAATGGTCAGATCACTGGCTCGAGAGAAGCAGTGCTAAGGAGTATAAGTAGTCTTTGGAAACAACTCAAGCACCTTCCGTCTCAGAGACACGCAGCCATCCTTTGGCAGCTGTCACTCCTGGTAACACCATCAGTGGTTGGTGGGAAGGGGAATGGATATTCCAATAGGGTGCAAGAGATGCACATGGCCCTTTGAATCGACAACCCACCTTTGGTGGGACTGTCCTGCATTCAAATGTATTTGGATATGGTGGGCCAATCATTGGGAGGATTTCGCAGCATGGGACTGGGATTGGGACAGAGACTGGGCTCTGTTGGGACTAGTTCCGTCACATGTACACCCACTGGAAGGGGTGGGTTACGTTGTGCAGGCCTGTAGGGCTATCATATGCTCTATGATATGGGAAATTAGAAACAGGGCAACGTTCGAAGGAAAGGGTTTCTCGGACAGGGAAAGTTGGGAAACCAAAGTAAAATCTGTTCCAAGCTGAGACAGTATATCAAAGCGGATTGGTGCAGAAGGAACAGCACGAGACAGCCAGGGGGAAAAGGACCAAGGTGGTTTCTCAGAACTTGGGGAGCAAGCAGGGGCTCCATGTGGTTGGTCATAGTTGGTTCGGAAGGGAAGCTGGTATTTTGTAATTGGTTGAAGCAATAAGTAATATAGGAATCTCTCGTTGTAGAGTAGCTTAATAAGTACAAGTGGTATAAACTATCACTTAAAAGCTGCTTGAGTGTGATTCAGTTCCTTCCAGCCGTAACATATTCGTTTTTGGAAAACCCTTAAGTTGCAGGAATAACCAGGACACTCGGTTCTACCAGCCACAGGAGGCAGGCGAACTTAGCAGGCTACAACTTAGTAGTTTTGGGGAATGTACGGAACGTCAGTGTCTATATACTAGTGCTGTTTGGATTTTGGTTTCTTCTTTGTTTCCCAGGAGACCTGTTGAAGAGAAGAGAGCTCGAGCTAGGGACCTTGATGAGAGCAGAGGGCTCGTTACAAGGTTCGAGTTTTTCTGTGGGGAATAGGCCTGCAGTTTTGCCTAGACACGACGATCAGAAGCTGATCCCTTTGGGGGCCCTCGTTACTTACCGGGTTGTTTGTTGAGGATTCCCGGCCTCAAAGTTTTGCGGGTCATGCTTTGAATAAAGGATCCTCTACCTTTTCCCGAAAAAAAAGAAAAGAAAAGAAAAGAAAAT